ACGACAATGGGGAAATTACTACTCTCAAGATTAATGTACCATCGAGTCTCATTTCGTGTATATGTAATATAAAATTTTGATTCTCCAAGTAGATCTCGATATGCCGACATTGCTAAATTATGTTGAACATTTTACTAATTTCCCAACGCGTACAAGTCTATACTTTTATATGTTTGAAAATTGTTCGAGGAAATTTGGATCTCACCAGTACTCACCACTACTGCGATAACATTAGCAAAAACATGATTGCCGTCGAATTATTAGAGACGGAACGGAAAAAAAAGTAGTAAAGGTAGCTGATATTGCAGACGCACAATCAACGATAGAGATTAGCGAGCATCATATAATCGACCACCGATATATCTAATTCATTAGTTTGAGACACAGCAAATTTTCTCTAACGGCTCTAATTTAATTTAAAGCATTTTGTGTTTAAAGCATTTAAGCATTAATGTAGATGTCAGGCGACGACTGACATCTACATTAACGTAATTGCGGGACCGTTGTTAAACGTTGTTGAACGTCAGGAAGTGACATTGCTTGTGTATCATCATTTGTCACATGCCACGCGCTTATTCTACAATCTACAAAATAATTACGAGACGCGCTGGCGAAACTATATTACTAGAAGTTAATATCCAGAAAGAACATTATTCGCGAAGAGCATCTTGCATGATATAAAATATTGAACAGATTCAAAGGTTGCGGTTGGTGCCGCGTAAATATATCACGATGCTGGTTTACGACACAAGTAACGGCACGCAATTGGACCGAAACCGGAAATATGCACTCTTTGGAGGAACGTAGCTTGATATTTTACTGTTCAAAGTATAAATATATTTTATTTTATTATTCTCAAACGCCATGTTATACCTATGTAAGATCCGTAGCTACGCTGTGAAATCTATCTCACATGTGTCATCGTATCTCCTGACATGGGTCGGACAATGCATCCGCTTTTAGCACATGTCAATATTTTACGTTTAAAGGGCAAAAAGGAAGAAGACATTCCCGTGATACTTGTCAGTGACGAAAGTCAGTGACTTGCGTGGCAGATGATACATAATGCCGGGGACAAGGCTATAATAATATAAATTAAGCAAAAAAAAATGCATGATGAGGCGTCAATAAAAATCTGACCATTTCGGTAAACAGTAAAATTTTTTTATTTTTTAGTGTTATCAATAAAGCTCAGTAACCATAAATAATAATTTTAAAAATAAAAAGATTGTAAAATAACGTTTGTATTCAATTGTAAACGTGCGGTTATTTACTATAATAGGATTAGTAATGTTATCGAGTTTCTTCTTTCTCATTACTAATTTTTGCACTTTCTGGATAAAAGTTGACTTTTCCTTTCAGAGTAAGAAAATCGCGATATTGCAACTAAACGTTTCTATTCAATTAGCTCTATGTGAGCGGCTACGATTCCATTTTACCTCGAGTTGGAAGAATGGGGAAACTGGCAGTGCAATTAAGTAAACGAGGTAAAGAGGCCGGTTTTTTATTGTCGGTGAAGTGAAGAAGGGTTTACCCTTTCGCGGCGAATGTTCTACAAGTTGAAGAAAAGACGTCCGAAAAACGCAATGAATAATTCTCACCCTGCGATCGGCAGGGTTCGTTTATACATTCATAATGTCTTAATGAACGTTTAACAGGGGCAGTTTCCAGATGTTATCCGAACAAACTTTATTCACCGTGATGACCGAGATTTAAATTTTCAGATATTCTCGTCGAGATAAGTTACATGTTATCGATTAATCCTCTAATGCTTTTTGAGAACACGAACCTTCGCCTTCGCTTAACTATTCGTCAAATCTTTTTAATATTAAAACAACATAATTAAAATAATAGTAAAACAATATAAATTTCAATATATATTTAACATAAAAATCATAAAATAGCATCCTAACATTTGTTACATTTTATGTAAACATGTATAGAGTAATTATAATTAATTATTTTATCTAGATAAATGCATTTATTCGAAAAATAAACAACATTTTCGATCTTTCTGTAATTTGTGAACTGATCTAATTAACGATTAACCTTTGTTGTCCTACATCAAAGTGGATATCGTCATCCCGCGTATAATATTCCACACTCTCAAAGTAACCTATTATTGCAAAATTAGCGAGCTATAATTTCAAAATCTCCATAACATTTTTCAAATAATAAAATTTGAGTGTTAGAGTAAATATCGATAATATCAAAATGAGAACGAAGCACTTGACTTTGCCGGTTTGGACCGCACAGACACAAAAAGAGAAATAGTTGATTGCACGATTGCAATCCTAATTGTCCATATGTATTGAAATTTATTGAAATCACAGGGCGAAGGAAGATAGTAATTTTGTATTTCCATATTTTTGGGTCTCGCCTGTCAAATACGTTAAAATTACGCGTGTCGTTACAAATATCGCGCCGCAGTTGCGAACGATGAATAATTTATTTCCGCACTTCCCTATAGTTTCGGAACTCCGAAATCCTGCGCGGAGAGAGAGAGAGAGAGAGAGAGAGAGAGAGAGAGAGAGAGAGAGAAAGAGATAGAAAGAGAGAGAGTCGCACGCACATTGCTAACGCGTACGAGCGCGCGTCGCGCGGATATCCCATATTCGCGAAAGGGAATATTTAACGCGCGCGTCCCTGTGGATATCCAGAATTTCGAACGAGCACGATAGCACCGACGAAAATACGTAGCGAAAAGCGTGGAAACGCGACAAGTACCGTTGGCCGGCCAGCGTTACGTTGTTTTGACGTTGCACAATCACGCGATTATTAATACCGCGACCACTCTCTTGGCGCGACAAGGGGGAGAATGATTCATCGACGAGGCACGATCGCGCGCAGCAAACGACGCGCGCGTGGAATTCCGTGATAAAGGTGAGAGTTTGCCCCGTCGCGTACATGCGACCCGCGTATTTTCAGACTCTCCCGGAACCTTTACACGATCAAGCCGCCGAGAAGTAGTTTTTCTGACGCGAAAATAGAAACTTAGAGGCGCACATCGAGGCTCTTATTGCGTTTATTACCGACGTGTCTTGAGATGATAAGCAATCGCGAGAACCACGCTGCTTTTACCCGTGTCTGCTTATGTAAGTCTCCGCGTTTACGGACCCTATTTTTCTTTACAAGAAATTAAACTGTGATTTCGTTTGGCGACAATGTCGAAATACGACCGAATGACGGTCGACCCACATCTTTTTAATATTCAATGCCGAGTACCTCTCGATAATGTTCGAAGCTCTGACTTAGTATCTGATAAAAAAAATAAGTCCTGTTGAATTTAAATGAACGTGGAAGTTTCGTTATTTAATTGCACCGTGGGAAGTTCGCGAAAGGTCCTTCTTATTTTCTAATTATTTGTAACGTGAAATCTGTCCGTACCTCGACACGTTTCAATTGAGAAAAAAACTTGACCGTTAATTGGCGAGAAAATCTGCCGTTAAGGTTTAACTCGGATATTCATAGTATTTTTACGTAATTTACCACATTAGCACCTGTCGATCCGTTTTCATTAAAAGCGCATTGTCCTGGCAGGCAAGAAAAGATCTATCGTCCCTCCATTCTTTTTATCGTCCACATATTTTTACGTATTTGCCGGCGTTTTTACCACATCCAGTTATCCCCGCAAACAATGCGGGGACTTGATCAAACAATTTTTTTCGGCTTTGCCGCGAATTTGTTCTGTCAATCCAAGATTGAAATAATATTACTGTATTTTGTTTTTTCCTATGTTGCTTTTACTATCAAATCATCTTACAAAAGTAATTTAACGTTTGCCGATGATTACGATAAAATTATATTTTAAAATAAATTTCGCAAATAAAACATCAGAATATAAATGCTAAACATTAATTCAACGGTATGGTTCAGTAGAAAATGATAAAATGTCAATAAGTTAACGTAATTTTATATAATAATTGAAAATTTTAATGTTTTATTGCAAATTAATATTTTGTGGATAAATTTCGAGAATTCACAATTTTTATATTTGAAAAAATATCAGTAAAATTAATGTGATTTTATACAGTTATCAGAAATTTTAACATTTTATTACACATTAATATTTAATGTATAAGTTATTAAAAACTTATTACCAATGTAAAATTTAAAATGTAAAACATTAAAATTCCTGAATACTACATAAAGGTATTATATTTTCGTATTAAACATTTTATTATTTAATACTGAATCGTCAAAATTTATATTTTTATATTTTATGCACAAAGTGAACTGTGTCTGAAATATAATTTTTTAATAATTATTGGTCAAATAGTATCAGTTATTTATATAAATGTAAAACTAATTTAACGGAAAAATATATTTTTAAAAATAGAGAAAATATTTTGTTATAGAAACAAAAAAAAAAGATATTTTTTAATTTTTGTAAACTGATTAAACTTAATAAAGCCGATTATTTTATTAATTGTATTAATTATTATTGAATGGAATAACGTTGCATGAAATTTGTTTGTGGTTCAATAAAATAATCTGTCAAAGCTTAAAAGAATTATAGAAGTTTAATAAAAATTAACTTCTTATCGAGAAAACGAATTTTTAATTTCGGGAAATATAAACTAAATACGGTAAATTTTACAATGGATTTATTTTACGATGGAAAATTAAGAACTTCGTAGTTTATCATGTTGACACAGTCGGACACACACGCGGTTTCTAAAATCAAATGACGATAATATTAATGGATTAGATGAGATACACGAACATATATACAATTTGCACAAATCATAGGAATCATAAGAGAATTAGTTTTCAGCCCAAATGAGAGATTTACCGTTCAAGCGCGAGGGATGTAAGTCGAGATGTAAGCTTGCGGGATAGACAAGCCGAGCCGATTCATTACCTCGGTTTCCGATTATCGATGGGTTCTAATTTAACCGGGCTAACTGCCTAATTAACTTTCTGCCCCGTGCAATGTATCGCGCGAGTAAAAACAGTCTCAGTCAGGGGAGTACGAGGGGAGAGTGGTTTCCACTTACCCTGCCTGTCTGTCTTATCCCGTCTCGTCGCTGAGATCACTGTCCCTCCTCCCTCGACGAGCGGCACAAAGAATCACAGTTCACGAGAAAAGATATGCACGACGGACGACGACGGCGACACGTAGCTCGTGAGCGATCATCCGCGGGAGGGAATTTCTCTTTGTAATTTCTCTCTCTTTCTCTCTTTCGGACTCCGTCGAGTCACTTCCGGAACTCCTCTAAGGAAATCTCACTGTCCCGAAAGCCTCGGGCCGGAAGGGGACGCGTTCACGACGACGACGGCGACAATAACGATGACGACGATGACGATCAAGCCAAGTACACTCACACGTTTCGCGTTGCGCATGTGTATACATATATCTATCTATCTATCCATTTATCTGTATTTATATATATCTCTGTGTATTCATCTTAATGGAACTCACGACGTTTCTTCTTCTCCCTTTCTCTCGCTTTTTCTCCATGTACCCCTCGTTAAACTCACTGGTTCGCGAGAACCTCCGATCGGTGATCGCGTTGTTCCTTCTCGCGATCCACCCTCCGCCCTCGCTACCAACTCTCTCTCTCTCCCTCTTTTTCCCTCTCTCTCTCTCTCTCTCCCCCTCACGCGCACACACACACACACTCTGCAACTAGGATAAAATGATATGTATTGGTTCGCAACGGCGGCCCCCGAAACTGCACCGCTGTCTTCGCGATTCACACGTTCACTTCGGCCGGCGATCGAAAGCGTCTGATTTTCCCAGCCACCCCCGTATCATCCGTCCGTCTCGCGTTGGTTGACTTTCCTCCCTTGTGCTGGGTCCGCTCCGTTCCTCGCTCTGTCTTTCTATCTATTTCTCTTTCTCTCTCGCTCTCTGTCTTCCTCTCGACGGAGACCCCGTTGCGCGCCCCCTCGGACAACAACCCTTACTCACAATTATTTTTGCTTGACTAAAACTAATACGGATTATATACTCCCGGTGCACACGGCTAATATGTCTACACTCGCACGACTATCCCGTGTGCGCTCTAACCCAAGTCATATTTTAAGTACGACGACGCACGGGTGGCGGTGCGACCGTGGGGTTACACTCTCTGCCTCTCACGCTGCCGCCTCCCTCTTGCGCCCCGGTCTGCCGCGACGCGCCCCTACCCGCCGAAGGTATCCCCACCAGGGATGCCGCTCGCCCTTGACGCGCCACCCCGCCGAACAGTGACGTCTCTCGAAAGTTTAACTCCGTCCCCCCTCATCCATTGAGATGTATATGTCGTTTGTTTTTATTTTCTGTCATTAAAGTAAAATGTTATACAGACGATTTTGTTACTTTAACTTATTCGCACGTCGAAAAACGTGGGACGAGTTTATTTTTATTGTTATCCACCCTCGGCTGTGTTAATTAAAATGGTACGTAATACTCGAAAAACTCAAATAGTGAGTTTTCTCGAGAAGGTACTAACTCTTTTGATAAAATTGGAAAGAAAATTTAAAATAAGATGTGATTCATATATCATTAAAGTTATATATTATATAAATTAATATAATATGTGATGTTAGCTCATTGAAATATTAATTAGAAATTAATAGCATCGTGGCACTATAAAGACAAAGCTGCCGTCACATATTTCCCGTCTTTTCCCATTAATTCTGAGTCAACCCTTCTGTAATCGCTCGGGTTCTTCCGCGCGATCGAGACGCCCCTAACGTACTACCCCTTATTCCCCGTTCGGAAAATCGCAGTGACGGAATTCTGTGCCACAAGGTTCCGTGCCGTTAGAATATTTCCATGACGATCTTTACGTGTATCGCGAAGCGTTACAAGTTTATTACAAAGTCTGACTGTTCACCTTTAATAAACTTTAAGTACATTACACGAAGAAATTACCGCTACAACCTTTCGAAGTTTCACTCGGTAAATGTTTCTCGGTATCGTGGCAAAATGCCCCTATTACTTGCGACGCCCTTGAAATTACGACGACCCATCCCTGCCGAGCGGGAGACAGTAACGTAGTCGGAGTATCGCTTTACAGAGAATTATAATTAAAGTAATGATATTTACGTCGCCATGAAATTGTGGGCGTAAAGTTAGCGAACGTACATGAGAGTTTCTAATTCAGCGTGCAAATTAATTATGCAAACTTGCAATGGAACGTATATAATATGTATATGTAATTCATAAACTATAATTTTTCACGATATCCGATATTTCGCGTGGAATATAACAAATTAATGTTTACGCCGTAAATGCAAGCAGATACCTTTCCATCCACATTTATACGTATTATTGCAGAAAGAGAGAGAGAGAGAGAGAGAGAGAGAGAGAGAACATTACGTTATTTTACCTTAGTTGGTACCAAGTCGAGTGAGCCATCAAAGTTACGACAGTCCTTATTAGCGTCGGCGGGGGCTCGTTGAAATTTGTAAGTACCGTGTTTCGTGCGGTAGTTTTTGCGGCCGTTACCACACCGTCACGCTGCGTTTCCCCAACCCCACCTCACCCCCCTCTGTATTCGGTCGATCGACGATAACGTCGGTGTTGTTGTCGTACGTCACTGACCGCCACCCCCGCGAGGAATTATACCCTTTCTCCTGCCACCGTTTTCCCTACCTTTCACGCGACCCCCGCGTCCCCCGTTTCCCTCCTCCTCCCCCTTCGCGAACGGGGCTCAATGGTAGCCGCAGACTACTTATGGTACCTAAACGCCCGATGCCTAAAGCGACGTGTCTGACACGATAGGTGAATGGACAGAAGCCGTCTCTATCCCGCGGCAAGCGCCACACCACTAAATCATGCATATCGAAACCGTCGCGGGGGTGGTCGCGCGCGTCACGTGACGCCGCACAGGGCGCTGCGAAATTAGGGAAGTCGGTACCCCTTCGCAGTACGAGGTAGGTACCCCGTACGAGTCAGAAGCTCTGAGCTCGATCGAGCTACCGATCCTTTTGGATCTGCCATCGATCTCTGCGTGTTATCGCGATCACCGTATCGTGTCGGCTCGAGCTGCAGGTCGCAGACCGAAGGGGATAATTTTAGAGCGGAATTAACAACGACACGTTTCTACTGAAACTGAACGTTTCTAATAAGCAACAGCCAGCTTTCCGCTCGGCCTTCCTGTTTGTCCCTTCAATACACTAACTCTAACTAATATTTATGGCAACGATCCCGCGGGTATTAACGTATTAAAGTCAGGCAAGGCGACTACTTTCCTCGAAAGAACAACCCTCAAACATGGTAAGCGACTCTCCTGGCGACCCTCAGGCCGCGCGAACTCGTACGATCGCGGAAATTGTGCGTTACCGGAAGTCACATATTTCGAAAGTGTCGTGGGAAAGAGGGAGAGAAAGAAGGGACGCGAGGGAGGGAAGAGCGTATCGGGGCGGCTTATCCCTTCCCGCGTCCCTCGGCCGCGAGTTTTCACGAGCTACTCCCCACTCGGGGGTTCGTTTCCCTACCCGGCGGTCGAAGGATTCTCCTATTGACGTGCCGGTTCCCTCCGACCCAACCCCGTGAACCTCTCGCCCACGTCTACCCCCACGCGCACCACCGCCATCCCTCTGGTGCTCTATAGCATGGTCTGACGTAACGCGACGTTACGTCAGATCACCTTCGCGGCCCGCTGCTGCAACGGGTGGTCTCCGGACACTCGCACCCAGCACGAACGGTCTCTCTATCTCTCTCTCTTTCTCCTCCTAACTCTCCTCTTCTTTCTCTTTCCCTGTTGCTGCGCGATGGCATTTCTTATCGCCGCAACGCGATGCTTCTTTATAATCACGAACCCCGCCTTCGCGATGTCACCTTCGCGAGTAGAACACGATTTCGAAAAAAAAGCACGTTAAATGGATAGATAGGCGCCAAGAGGGTGAGAGGAGACTCTCTTTCATCGTGAGGCGCCATGGGATTTGCTAATACAGCAAAAAATTTCTCTTAGTGCGTTTCTCATTAATTTTCTTAGGAAAAAAAAAATAACGAATACTTTTGCCATTAAAATATATCTGCACGTATTTGTTTATGAAAAGAACGGTTTTGCTAAAGTAGTTAGCTAGATATAGATCTAAAATAATTTTTTTGGACCAATTATTATATTAATCGAAATAATTATTGTGTCGGAACGCGCAAAATGCTGCAGAATGTTTTGACATTCTATGTTGAGCCACCATACACAATTATTTTGATTTTGATTTTGCAACGTTTAACAAAATTATGTTTAAATCTGTATGAGTTATTATGTTGAACATCATATTATTTAATATCGCAAGCAATACGGTCCAAGTATTTCCCGTTTCCTATCGATCATTATCTTGCACTTTTCCGCTTTCATTTATTCGTACGTTTATATGCCTATGTATGTACGAACCAAACCCCAAATACATCGCAACAAATTTGCGAGAGCTTGGCGCCATCCTTCAGAGGGAAGTTCATTTATCCAGTTGGGATGTTCCTTTTCTATATGTCTCGTCAACCTCCAACCTTGTTTTTTTTTTTTTCCATAATGTCCCCACACAATCGGCAGATTGCCGTACGACGTCGTGAAAGGAAACATCTACGTACCTTATACGGTACGCAGGTACATACGCAGTTGTTTTAGATTTGCATGTTCCCCTATTAGGTGGTTTTGCATCTGTTTTATCATTAAAGAGCCGTCCGTTTGAATTTCTTCTTTGCACAATGTGTATTTTGCGACATTGTCGCGGACATCAAGGAAAAAATCCCATAAGTCATGCTGCTGCTGATTCATTATTGTTCTCCCAATAATCGGATGAATAGTTGAATTAGGTATCGCCACGAAAGCCGTTAATATCGCTAATAGGATAGTTCAGCGTAACTGCCGTTCGGCCCGTCCGACTATTTCGAAAGAACACCGAGTCCCTTTTCATGGATCGATTTAAAATCTTGTTTTTCGTTGTGTCGTCTTTTTATCTCATTGTACTTTATTTTATTTGTTAATTTCACTTTTGGTAGAAAGAACTCGTTGTGTTTGATGTCTCGAGGAGACTTATTATTCTGTACAATTTAATTCGCAATTGTAGCCGATACGGTTGCGCCCTTTTACACCACCCCCGTAATTCCAGAAGCCGGCGGCTTTCAGGTTTGCTCATTGGCTTCTGTGTGGTTAGTGTTGATAACAATGTAATCATTATAGTAGACTCAAAGAAAGGGAAAGAGAGAGAGAGGAGGGAGAAAGAGGGAGAATTCCAAGAAATAATTGTCTTATTCCGCGTAGGGCGGATATAGAAGAGTCGATTTTACGTAAATGAATTCTTAGAACAATCTTAAGGTTAATACACAATAAAAAATACTCGATTAAATTCGACAACATATATCTTACAAAATATTTGTTTTTTCGTTGTATGCAATTTCTCCCTCTAATTAAAATATATTCCAAGATTCTTAAAATACGTGCGAGGTACATTTACGTGTATCTCTTCTAGTATTACGATTATTATCTGTTTTTATAAATTTCGGGTAAAATTATATTATATATGAGAAATACAAAATTTTGATTTTCTCGATTCACATAAATTCTGAATATTGCGTCTCTTTAAAATTTCAAATTCCATCTTTATTTTAAGTTCTCCGACGCCGCCGTACCGAGAATCGAAAATATCAATTCTACGTTTGCGCTTTGAATTAGCTTTAAGCATATTATATGTCACATCTGCATTTACATAACTTAATTCTGCACAAATATCGTCTCCAGCACAGTTGTTATAAGCATAATTAATTATTACTAAGATACATATTAATATTTTGGTGCATTTTAATATCATTGCTATATGTTATATAGTAAATATCTCAAGATATAGTTAAACAATATATCGCCATTTTAAATATATCTGTGACATATATTTATAACAAAAAAAGTTTTTTAAATACAATATAATAACAAATATTTTTCCATATGGCTAATGCCCGTTCTAGA